ACAACTTTTTTGTGCAATTCCTAATTTGAGGTAAATCTTTGTATCTTATTTGTGAAACTAATTAGTTGAAATTCAATGGACTCCTTGTTTTCTTTTTTCTCCCCTTGAAAATTAACTGAGATCCATGAATGAATTTTTTTATCATAAAACAAAATTTTCTCTCTTCTTTTTGAATGTGAATTTTAATAATGAGTAATAATAATACTAGTCATTTTGATATGCACAATGATTTTAAGTTCGTTATGAACTTTGTGATTTTTTCAAATAATGTTAATCAATCTGTTTTTCAATTTCATTTGTATAGGAATACAAAAGAGAGTTTTAGAGTTCAAATAAGAGGCTGTTGTTGATTCATTTGTTGATCTAATTGATATGTATGTGATTAAATTAGTATTATGTATCAGAATGCTATGTAAGACAATCCTTGTGCCCCGTCTCTTTGTTTTATATACCTGATGGACCACATACATAATATATAGGAAAATGTACCATTAACGAATTTTCAACTGTGGATACATGTCTATCCTTACCATACAGAAACAAATGCTATTAATAAGCCAATTATGTTATATTATAAAGCAATTTTTTTTTTTTTTTTGGCTTTACACATACCTTAGTTGCAATAACTCCTCTTGCCCTACAGTTCAAATGCTCTCCCACAAATTATTAACTATTAAAAGAAGATGCAAATATTTGGATCTGCTTAAAAAATTTGTGTTCAAATGATGCTCAAGTCAAATTTAATTTAACAAGTATTCTAGATTATAGTTTCTGATTTTTATAAGGTTATATACTTGTTTCATAGTTAGGATGGTGTTTTATGTTGTACTTAGGGGATTCTTATTATGTCGAGACCTTGTGGTATATGCCAAACAGGATAAAAATTTTGCTTGGTAGTCTCAATTTGCTTTCGTTATATCTTTTGTAAGTTCATATTCTCGTGATGTTATTACTGAAAGGATTAAATGTTCCTTGCGGGCATATTGAAATTTGAGATTGTGGCTTTTTAAATGATAGGAAGGCGGCGCCTGGGATTTCTGTTGGGTTAAGGATGGAGAATTGCATGTTACTGTACCAGAATTTATTTGTTGATTATAGCTTTTTATATTGATCTTATTGATTTGATGGTGAAATGGAATGGGATGATATAGTGACAGGCCATGCAACAATTAAGTAATAGTTTTTGTGATTGATCCATTGTCCCATTTCTACGCTGGTGTTTCTTTCTCTGAAACTCTTGGCTTGAAACTGGTGATTACTTCAATTTTGAACCTTTTCTTTCTGCATTGTGATAATTATTGGATTTTGAAGTGCAGATGCTATCTAAAGTTGTTTGATTCTCCTTTGAACTCACTGTATGAAGAAGAGGATGACACATCAAAGACTCCTTCTCAGAAAAAGAAAATGAAGAAGCAGAGGAAGGCGGAACGAGCTAAGAAAGTATATCAGCTTGTTTTGGTGATTCTTGGCTAACACTCTCTTTGATGATTTCATTCTGATGCTGTGTATTATTTTAGGAGGCAGAGGAGAAAAATGAAGAATCAAGTTCTAGTGGCATGTCTAAGTCTGGGAAACAACATGTTAAACCTGTAGATCTCGATCCTTTTGGAGAAAAATTATTGAAGGTTACCTATTATTATCTTTTCCCTGTGCTTTAGATTCCTGATTAAAGTCCTCGTGCTGTAAAAATGTGTTACGCTAATGCCTATTAAGCTAAGACTGTTTAATCTGTATTTTTTTTTCAGACAGAGTATCCCTTGTCCGAAGCAACGAAGTACTTGAAGTTGCTTCAGAAGAACTCACCTGATTCTTTGGAGACGCACTTACTTTCTTTTGAAGTAAATATGAGAAAGCAGAAGATTTTACCTGCCTTTCAGGTATTATATTTTCCAAGAATTGAACATGAGATGTGTTGCTTGTTCTTTTTGTGTTTGGTCAACTAGAACTGATATTTAATTGTCAGCTGGTGGTTTGTGAGGAAGCCCCTTCTCTTGTTTTCTCCTCTCTTTTTTCACTTGCTGCCTGTGGATATGTTCTTGAAGCAACCAGAACTAATATTTAATTGTCAGCTAGTGGTTTGTGAGGAAGCCCCTTCTCTTGTTTTCTCCTCTCTTTTTTCACTTGCTGCCTGTGGATATGTTCTTGAAGTAAAGAAACTATACCTTTTAACCAAACATCTTTTTCTTATTACTCTACTCACTCAATGAATTTATGTGTGAATTAGATAGTGTGCACGACATATCTTTGAGTTGTAGAACAATGGTTTTGTGCAGTAGTACTTTTACCATTTCATGAGCTCATATTAGTAGGTTTGTCTTGGTTTTATTTTGTTTTCCTGAAGGCTGTAAAGCAACTGCAAAGGCTGGATGCTGAGAATCCAGATTCACATCGCTGCTTGGTATGTAACATCTGCCCTACCATATTTGTGCACTGCCATGCACAACTGCATTCTTTTCTGTTCTTAGATACAAAGATCATGTAATCTTTACAATGCTTATTTGAATTTAATCTAATGCAGATTAAATTTTTCCATAAATTGGGCTCAATGCCTGCTCCATTAACTGATGCTGAAAAACTTGTTTGGAGTGTCTTAGAAGCTGAGCGTCCATCCATCAGGTTCTCTTTGAAATGGCTTTATGATAGCTATTCCCCCTACTAGAATTTTGTTGTATTACTGCTACTATTATTATTTTGATCCCTGATGCATTAAATCCCTTTATGTTCTCTTTCCGCAGTCAATTGCAGGAGAAAACTCTTAGTGAGGCGAACAAAGTTTTCCTTGGTAAACATGAAGGTATTATGACCTTTGCATAACATGATGCATTTTAGGTTCCTTGAGGTAGGTTGTATAATCATGCAATTTTCACTTTTTGGTTCTGCAGAATCTTTGATGCATATAGTGGCAGTTGCAGAAATGTTATATACCTTGGAGCACACCAAGAAACTTGAGGCTGTTAAGTTAATTGAAGATTCATGCAATAAAGTCATGCCAATGTAATGCTCTTAGTGTACATTAAAATTTTTGCTGTTTGATGTCGATTCCATGCATTGCAACTTACTCTTGAGATTAATTGTTTCTTTCTCTTTTGCTTGTCCAGGAATGGGGCACTTGGACCAGTACTGGCGTGGAAACTCAAGGACTGTATTGCAGCCCATAAACTCTTAGAAAAGGTTCTTATTGACCGAGATGCTACTTTGAGTAAGTATAATTCTCCACATAAATTGATGCTGACTAGAAATTTGACTTTGACTCCATTAACAACTAATGAAATTAATTACTGTTGTTTGTTTAGAAAGTATTTTAGTAAGAATATTAATGGTATTGAAATTTTGATATACTGTTAATTGAATATTATAGATTAGATGCCTAAAAATAAAACATTAAATTAGGATTTTTAAATTTATGGTTTCAACATCATTCAGTGATTTTTTTGAGATGTATCTCACGAGTTCTGATTGCTTGTTGGTTTTTGTTATTATGATGCTTAATCTTTGAAAGTTGGATGCTGTGATTATTATTGGCATTTTAAAGAAAGGTGGACTTTCATGATAATAATTTTCTCACTTTCTTATTGATGTTTATTTAATTGAAGTTGCAAGCTATGTGACAAAATTATTCAAGAAATGATTGTTTATTCTTTGTTTAGACCCTCTTTATTAATAGCTTATTAGACAATTGAAGTAAAATTATGTAGACAATTTGAAAGAGTGCTTTACAGCAGGCGGAAAAAAGGAGCATCTTGAAGTTGTGCAAGCCATGACAATGCTTTCTTCTGTTGCTTTGAGATCAAAATTTTCGCTGCTTTTCTAATCGTGAAATGCATTCCTTTGCAAATGTGTATAATTTATCCACATTTATGATTTTAGGGTTGATATATATATATATATATATATTCTTTTAATTTGCTTACCATTTGGTTGAGATCTTTAGAGATATCTGGCTCCATAGTTTTGCCCCAAAATTTGAGGCGCTATAGAAAATTTTTGGGTACTGCTGATGAAATCTTCTGGTCAGCATGGGAAGAACACTGTTTTAGAGCTAATCTTTGCCTTTGGAGCATGTTGTACTTCGCCCCTTTTATTAGTTGCCATTTATAAACACTACATAATGTGGAAAATTTTGCTATGGAGCTGACAAGAGTGGCTATCAAAAATTCCCAGTTTTGTTGTTCTAAGTCTCGTCTCTTATGGTTTGCTGTTTGAATTTTATTATAGAGGAAAGGTTGATAATTAGTAACAAAAAGTGGATTTTGATTGGATTATAAAATTTTATTATTAGTTGAAAAAGGTTAACCAAATCTTGTTGAGATGCTACATAAAATTATTTTTCTTTAAAATTTATATAATTTAAATTATTAATATAATTTTTAAAGTTATAATAGAACATATAAGTTTAATATCGTAAATAAAAAATAGTTATTTTTATTTTCGAAAAATTGAATCATTATATATCAAGAGGATTAATTAGATATAAATCAAATATAATATAAAATTATTATGTCTTATCTATTATTTTATATATTAAACATAATGAAAAAGTATTAAATAATAAGTATTATATGTAATTGGATGATTAAATTGTTAAACACTTAATTTTTTTTGTTTGAGTAATTGTTAATTATTAGATTTTTAAAATTTTTTTAACCAATCAAATTTGAATTTTGTCATATTATATTTTGATTTGTTAATTTTTTTAATACATTAAAAGTTATTTGATTATAATTATAATTATAATTTTTAATGGTATATAATTTTATAAGAAACCAAAAGAAGTGTTTCCGTATATTTATAATTTTATCTCCTCAAACCCAACGATTATGGAAAAGCATGAAATCCCAATTTTTAAGCTTTGGAATATTCTTTAAAAAAACCTCGAAAAAAAAAAAATCTAAGTGATTAATTTTTAAAATTTTAATTTATTAATTTAATTTGTATGAAAAAAAAATTAAACATTTAAAATATTTTCAAATTTATAATTTTAAAAATTTGACTAAATTAAAATTTAATTAAATTACATATTATTTGAAATAATAATTATCCCAAAGGATCTCGCACCACAAGTTTTTTAAAATTTAATTTCTCCTTGCTAGTTTCCATGTACAATTTTATCAACATATCGTTGAACCTTCTTTTCTTTCTTTCAGTTTTTTATTGAGTTTTTCTTTTACTAACTATAATCAAGTAAGTCAATAGAGATTGGTGCAAATAATTAAAGTTTAAGATTTAGATGTAAAGTATCTAGATTTATGATAATCAGATTCAAATCTTTAATGATTTTTTATTAATAAATAATTTATTAATTTTTAAAAATAAGATAACTTCTCTTATTTTAAAATTTTTTTACAAAAAAATATAATAAAATAAAAACGTCATAATATAAAGAGAATCTAAGAACACAAAATGTCTTCAAAAAAGATTTGATATATTTAACTCGGTTTTCTTCTCAATTGATTCATTATTTCACTTTTTCGTTCATGATTTTGCTAATTTTCTCCTTGATAATATAGTTATCAACAATGTTTTAGAAGCTTATCATGGGGTGCAGTGATGGTTGACCCATGCAATCATAAACACCACCACGTGTCTTTGGGAATAGGACTAATGAGAAGGGGAGGGTCCTCCTTTTATTTTGAGAAAAGTCTAAATTTCTAAACCACCAAATAAAATGATAAGCTCTTTTTTTTTTTTTGGTGAATTGGTGAGGGTTTTTTTGTAATTGCAGATATTTATTAGTCTTTCACCATCCTTTTGGCCAATTTTGAGAAACGATACTATTCCTTCTCACTAGTCATCCTTGCAACTTTTAAGCTTTGGCTTGGCTGGGCATTTGGTTAAAGTTTGGTGTGGGGGTAATTTAGATTTTAATTTAGAATTGCTTTTGCTAACATCCGCATCCTCCATTCTTCCTCAACTTTGTTTTCTTTAGAAAAATGAAATTTCTTTTAAAATTGATGGGGCTCCTCCATTCTTTCTATTTTCCTTTTTTTTTCTTCTGAAGTGTATTTTTTTTTTTTCATTTATATAAAAGAAGCAGAGCTGATTTTCATCAAATATGTTTTTCATTTAGTCACTACGTTTATTTTAAATACAAAAAAGTCAATTTTTAATTTAAAATTTAATTGGTTAAGTTTCGATGGTTAGATTTTTTGGCATTTTAAATTTAAAACCCACTGTCTTCAGCCATTCTTCTATCATTTCAATTTTCTTTCTCTCAAATTTAGGTTTTTCGTTTTGGATTCCCGTTCGGCTTGAAATATAGATTATTGTCAATAATATCGACATCAAGCAAGTAATGAGTCAATTCAACTTTCCTTGAGATTGGGCATCAAGATTAGGTTGGGAAATTAGGGTTCTTGATCTTATAAGAGGGAAATTAATTCCTTTGAGGTGAAAGAATTTTTCTCGGCCATTGGTCAATCCAAACAAAGTAGAGAATTAGTTGGTGAAGGACAAATTGGAATGTGTGAGGAATTTGGAGACCTTCTGAAGGGTTGATTTCTACCATCTTAATTTTATTTAAATTTTTTTACTTCAAATAATGCCCGATTTGATTTTTTTTTTATTTTTTTCTGATGATAAAATGTGTTCTCGTTATAGACTGTAGATAATGATGTTGCTAGTGTAAGCTATTTTATTATGTCTTAGCTGTTAGTCATATTAATTTGATTTTCTGTTTGGTATTTTTTTTTAATGAGCTCCAAATGGTACCTTGGGATGTTCTGTTCATTATATTTACTCTGGATTTCTTCTCTCTCTTATTTATAGAATCACATGATGCAAATCCAACGAAAACCTTACTTTTTTGTAGAGCTATCAAGCTTTCTCCCCTTTTTTGGAGAGAGGAGGGGCGGCAATTTTTACAAATACTCTTGTAGGGATATTGTTTTTCTTGATGGCTTGATAAGAAATTATGTGACAAAAATCTAGTGATGTGCTTCTACAATAGACACAGTCCATTCGATGGCTTGTGATATTTTTAGATAATCTAGAAATAGATAGTTGTGGTATTATGCTGAAATACTTCATTGATGTCTTGATGTGACAATAGTAAGAACTCTAGGTGGTTAAAATTATGCTTTCATATGCTTCACCCCTAGAGAGTTGACATGGTGGCTAATTCTTTTATTAGTGGCTATCTTTATCTCATTCTTTTAGTTAAACTGACTTTCCTATATAAAAACCTTTTGACGGTGGGCCAGGTTACGGCATGATTGAAATAAAGTGTCAAACTCTAGAGCTTTTGGGATTTGACTCATGCAGTGAGGATGTATTTAAATTGTTTTCTTCCTGTAACCCACATTTGTTATGTATTCATTCATGAGAATTGTAATTATTGCTGTTACAATGTGCATCATTATTGCCAATAAATGCTACTTCCTTTATGATATGTGATGAATGTTCTAGGACTTATATTAGAACTTTGTTTTCTCAATTTTTAGAGGATACCACTTGATTTACTGCAAGGAAACAAATTTCGTAAAGTGGCAATTGATTACATTAAGCCTCTTCTAACCTTTATATCCAAGTGAGATTTTTTTTTTTTATTAGTTTGACTGGTGTTTTTTAGTTTGTTGGGTGAAATAATGATATATTTTTTCTGTGGCCTCAGGGGGTTCCATCTTTATTTCAGACCTTTCTCCCTTGTACGGTCACCCTAGAAAGGTAAGTTTTCTTACTTACATATTCTAAAAATAGAATTAAGTTTCTAAATATTGATTCTCCTAAACTGCTTAGCAACTGATTGGAGCTTGATTTCATTAGGATTGATTACCTGCTTTGTTGACACTTATACAGGCAGACATATTGGAACAACTAATTTTTGAGTTGGAGCATTCAATTAGGACCGCCGGCAGATACCCTGATAGGTAGTATATGCTTTAAACCCTTGCGTAATATTTTAGTAAGTCTTAAAAGCAAATAAATGTTTAGATTTACTACTTTTTGAGGTAATATAGACTTTCAGCCCTTATGTGATATTCTAGTAAGTCTTAACAGTGTCCAAATGTTTAGATATTGGGTATGGTCTGATTGCATGTTTATCTTTTACTGCTTATTGTTTGGTGAAGTCCTCAGTCATTTATGTGTTGTTATCTATTAAACAAGTACATAATGGTTGTCCCATATGGTTGCATGTGAAGTTTCTATGTTTTTGTTTGTATGCTAATACACAAGCACGCATTTGGTATTATGCTGAGTCATTTCTTGCTTGTGTTTCATATTGAGTGCAGGACAGTGAAAGAGCCCCCTTCAACACTTTTATGGATTTTATTCTTTTTGGCTTAGGTGGGTAACCATCAGGTTTCCTCACCCCATGGGCCATGGCCTTTTCTTCTTTTCTTGCTATAAATATTTGGTGCTTTCTTTGCATTTGAGTAACTTTGAATTTATTGATGCAGCATTATGACAGAAGAGGACAATATGACGTTGCTCTTTCAAAAATTAATGAGGCCATAGAGCACACACCAACTGTAATTGATATATACTCTGTCAAGGTTTGTTCTCGTCTTCAATCTTCAAATTTTTGCAATGGCTTCATCTGCTGGGTTTTATATTTTTGTCAGCTGGATTCTTTTATTTTATTTTTTTCTTATATTTTGAATTCTTTTTGCCTGGTTTGTCTCGCATCTCACAAGGCATAGCATTACCTGAAAATCTTTCTAGATATTGCCCTGGAGTTATCGTTCACTTGTAAGAGACTTATCACTTTCTATGATACTGACCTTGATTGAATATATTATTTTGCACTAAATTGTGCAAAGTTGATATGCATTCATTTAAAATGCATACTAGTTTTTCTTTGTGGACCTTAAGTCTTGATGGGCATTGGGCAGGCATATAACCTCCTTTCTTAGGTTTTGGGGTTTTTGGTACATGGCTATTGTTTCTTGATGAACCTTTTTACTATCTTTTGGAGAAGTTCTTGGAATTTTCTTGAAGCTGGGTCTATGTGTATATTATTTACTTCTCTTTGGTGACAGAGTCGGATACTGAAACATGCTGGTGATTTGGTAGCTGTGGCTTCATTGACAGATGAAGCTAGGTGTATGGATCTTGCAGATCGCTATATAAACAGTGAATCTGTGAAGCGAATGTTGCAGGCTGATCAGGTTCTAAAGCTCCCCCCTTCATCTTTTGTCATAGTTAATATTTGTCACTAAATTTCTTTCGGTATTATTGTACTGTTCACAAACTTTTTCTACTCTTGAAGGTGGCTTTGGCAGGAAAAACTGCTGTTTTGTTCACGAAAGATGGGGCCAGCACACCAACCTTCATGACATGCAGTGCATGTGGTCTGTTTTTGTTTATTACCTTCCACATGTCGTTGTCTCTAATTATAATTTGGGTACACCTACTGAGTGTTATCCATCTTTTGAAGGTATGAACTTGCTTCTGATGAAAGTTACTTTCGACATGGTGATCTTGGACGAGCCCTGGAGAAATTTATAGCTGTGGAGAAGCACTATGCTGATATTACTGAAGATCAATTTGTTTTCCATTCTTATTGTTTGCGGAAAATGACACCACGTTCATATGTTGGAAAGCTAAAATTTAAAGATTGGTTGCATTCACTTGCTTATTTTCACAAACTAGCAGCTGGAGCCATCAGGTGAACATTTTTGTTAGGATCTGCAAGCTTTTCAATGATTTGCAATAGACTTAGAAACCAAAAAAAAATGAGTGTATCCCCTTTATAACTTTAGTTATAGATTGGATCCATACCTTCAATTAGTTATAGTATCTCAAGTAAAAAAATTAGTATTGTTCTTTTTTTCTTTCAATAAAAAAATTCTTAATTTGATTTATATTATAATGTAATAATATAACAACAATTATGAGTCTAGGTAAACCCCATAACGAAAGTTATTGCACGGCAACAAAAAGTTCAACCCAACAATGAAAAGCAGCTTGAGGTTTTTGTTCTTTTCATCCCTATGCCATTATGAAAAATTTTATCTTTACGAGTACCCATTTGCATGTTCATTGATTTATGATTTGGGTGTGAGTTTTTTGGTTTCATTTTGTGTCTTTTGTCATCTATTGTCTTGCTTATAAGTACTCCAGTTTAAGGTACCCATTTGCCTGTACTGCTAGTTCATACATTTGAAGATTTTATCTTGGTTAATGAGGAGGTCAAATAATTTGATAGAATTTCAAGCTATTGCTATTAGAAATTACCTTCTGCAGATGTTTAGCTCAGAAATCAGATTGATTTAGTTAGATATATGAGGGTTGATTAGGAGACACTGTCTGGTGTAATATAAAAGATTTTGGCTGAGGGGCTCAAATGAGCAAGTTCAAGTCCTGAAAGTAGCCTCATTGTGTAAAAAATGCTGAATCCTAAAGGCTAGGAACATTTTTCAAATGACTCTTCTTGGTTTCTCATCCTTCATTGGCAGGATTGAGGCTGAGTAATGATCCTCTTTATGAGGGAAGATTACTCAAAAGGCTGTTTAGAAAGCATTCTCCAAATTGCTATAAAAACCAACCATCATAGCAAAACAGCAGTGTCTGTGTTTCTTCATTTTTGGGTTCTGCCACACACTGAAATACCCTTTGCATATCAACAGGAGCTGACCTCAACCTCTGGACCTTGTGATCCTTTATGTTCAGTTGATGAAGCTAGCTCGTTAGATTTTGAAGTTACTTACCAGCCAAAGACTAATTTGTTGAAAACTATTGGTGTTTTCACAGCAGCTTTAACAGGGACTGTGGCAATTAACCTATCATGGGTTACCAACATCCAGGTTTATCTTTAATTTCTTGTGCAATCCTTTCTTTGTAGGTTTTAATCATTTTTTCATCTTTGGCCAATATTTTGCATATTCTTGTATTATGCACAGAAGCCTTTCTTAATTTGATCTAATTTCATAATGCATATTTCTATGGCATTGCTTTTTGTAATAGGATATGTAGGCATTATCTTTGAAGAATTTCTAGCCTTCAATAAAAGTGGAATAGATTGTTGATGGCTGTGAGTTTATGGGTGGTAAGGAGCATTAGGGTAAGAATGATTCTCAGATGTTTAGTATTGGACTGTGTTTTTCTGCTGTCCCTCTTCTTGTAGTTTGCATCATATTTATCATTCTCATAAATTGGGATGAAAACACAAAATTCTGTTGCGTATTGGATGCTTTATTCAGTACTATGTCAGGTTTCAACCTGTTTCTCTCATGTTCATTGGTGGTGGCCTCATGATCCGGTATTCATTCAAGAGTTAATGAAATACAGGATGCTTGGGCTCTAAACTTATTTCCTGATCTACTAGTTTTATTGGTCTATGTTTTTGGTGAACAATGGCTTGTCTTTTTATGAAGTGATCATTGCAATTTAATATCCTTTATTTTTAATTTATGTTGGAGCCCACTTCCCATTTAAGGAAGGAGCATCTCCAATTTAAACCAATTCCAAGGAACTATCCTAGCAATGAATTAAGATAGCAAAACTAGGTACCTACCCCCATGGTCAATTGGGAGAGCCAAAGTTTGTGTTTGTGTGTGGCTTGTTACCATCACTAGGAATTCTGCAAATGGTTACTATGACTATCTCCCTTTATTAATGGAATTCTATGGTCTACTTATGCTGATGCATCTGACTTATGTATGGAAAACTTTTTTTTTTTTTATCATTTTCTTATTTATTTCCTCCTTTATCTGTTAATACTTGTGTAATAATGCTTGGGCCATTCACATTTGTAGGCTCCTTCAACTGATTTAGCTATTTCAGAGCTGACACATGCATCTGCTGAATCGTTTTTTCTTGCTTGGTGCAATGACCATTGTAGAGATAGTTGATGCCCCTCAAGTATTTGAGCTGGTATTGACAATATAACCACTCTAAAGCCACGGACTCTGCTTTGGGTGGTGAGTTGATTTCTTTCGGCTATAGTCATACTGACAATTTTATCATTAATGGTTCATATATGAATCTTGTTGAGAGTTCAATTGCATGGTGAAGCATACCCTATGGCCTAATTTACCCACCGACCGTGAAATTTGGCTGGTGGGTATAAACCAATGATGTAGATGATTACAACTGATAAAGATGGATTCAGAAGAATCTTAAATGTTCGTACTTATGTGTCATGGCCAAAGTTATTGACCTGCTGAAGAAAATTGGAGAAAGGATAAAAAAAAATGCAAAAGTTATGTTAAAGTATTCATTAGTTGCTTTTCATGATCCAAGTCCAATCTCACCTCCTGGAAATTAAAAAAATAAGCTCTTAAAATTTTTAAATCTTGGCCCATTCATGTTCCAAACCAGTGCACTAGAAGAGCCTCTGTAGTTAATTTTCAATTATAAGATAGAGATTTGATGTTGCAACTTAATCAAAAAAACCTTAATTATGTCTTACCTTGAAGAATAAAGCAGACGATGGCCTTTAGTATTTGCCCTAAGCCTTAATTGTAAATATTCTTGTTTGATTAAAATCTCTTTTAGCATTTGCCAATCAATAGATGTTAGTATCTTGGATTTTTTTGATGGTATAGGATTTTTGTAATTATCATTGAGAAACTACTTTTTTAGGAAGATCAATTATCATTTAATGTTTTGCTCATAAAAATCTATTAATTTTTGCATTAATGATACTAAAATGGAGAGAGGTTATCTAGGTGAGTACAAATACCAATATTTTCATCATGTTTTTTTATGGTATTGGTTGTAAAGTAGTGGGATATTCACGGAACAAATGTAATTTTTTTAATGAATTTTTCTTTTTGGTTCCAAAGGAACTTATCGAGGCTACTGCTTTGCTATACCATATGTTGAATGATATGCCACTTCAAAAGAAAGCTTACCTTTTTTCATATTGTATTCTCTAAAACTCTAAATATGCATCTTTTTCCGTCTTTCATTAGATGTGTGTTCTCATTGAGTTTTTCTTATGTTATGTTATGATTATTCGTTGAGAAAGTAAGTTAATGTTGTCTTAAGGTTAGGGTTAAGTCTTTAGCAATATAAGTCCTTCTATTTAGAAAGTAATGGATAATTATCTTAGGGTTGTATTGGGGTTAATTTATTTAGGATATATTGGAGGTTTTGAGTTTAGGTTAAGGTTCAGGTTATAATACTTTATTTGTGAGCTTGGGGTTGTTCAATCAGTAAAATGAGTTGGTAATGAATGTGGTTAGCTGTTGCTTTATTCATTTCTTATTGCTTTACTTTTACTTTATTTGCTAGCTGTCCTTGTCTTCATTTTGTTTATTTGCTGCATTGGTTTTGATCAATTTTGGCTTGCTTTTTTTGTAGTTGTTGCATGGCCTCCAAGTTCTATTTTTATTTCTCAAATGGCATTGTTATAGTTATACTTGGGGGAAACACTAAAATTTTCCTATGGCATGACAATTGTGTTTAACTCAACTAGTGTGTAATTGTTATATAACACGTTGAATGGAAACAATAATATCCCTAAGCATCTCTATAGATGTCTTTTCTTGTTGAGATTTTGTTTTTATGTTCGGTTTTGGTCCACTAAGATTATTGGTTCCATGACAATTGCATTTAACTTAAGTGGTATGGACTTATTATATCACATCTTGCTGATTTTAGAATGGTATGTGACTTTGAATGAAGCTTCCTCTTGTTATTTGGCTCTTTGAAATGGAAGCATAATATTCCTAAGCATTTTTGTAGATATCTTTTCTCATTAAGATTTTATTATATCACATTCTTCTTGTTTCATTCTTTCATTTTTTGTGTACGAGTTGAGTTTTGTAATTTTGCTTTTGAAAAAATCTTTGGATTGTGGTTTCGTAAGTATGATTGTTATTTGGTAGTTTCTATGGAGCTCAATGGATTGTGTGCTTGCAATTTTGCAAGATGGGAAGAATTAGAGATTCAAATTTGGATAGCTGTGTGTTGTGCATGTTAGGAGTTAGTTATTTTTTGTTGGTTCAATTTTATTGCTTGATGGATTAATTTCTTAGGTTTATTTTCTGAAATTAAGTTCCACCAAGCACAAAGGTTAAGTGTTAAAAGGAAGATTCCTTGCCTCTTTTGTTATTGGAGTTAGTTATTATCTTTGGCCACTCATAGTTGTCATTTTTTTCTCATTGAGGTTTTGTTATGTCATGTTTTGATTCTTCTTGTGACACATTTATCTATATTAGTTTAGTTTTTGGAATTTTACTTTTTGAAAAACCCCTTAGTTGTGGCTTCTTAAGTGTGGATATTATTTAGTAGTTGTCTGCTTTCAGCGAATGGCTTGCATGATAAGGAGGAATTCAATTTCTATGCCTCGTGTACGTATATTTTGTAAGTTTCTTGTTTTGTTTGTTACAATCTTTTTGTTGTAGGACAGAATGGTTTCTTTCTTTTAATTTCTGCAACTTAATTTTGACGAGGATAGCAATTGTTGCTTAAAAGGAAGAGTATCTGTATGGGGTGTGTGCTCTAAGCAAATGGCTTGCAGGATAAGGTGAATTCAATTTTTGTGCATCTTGTGTGTGTAGGTGTATTTTGAGAGTTTTTTGTCATGTTGGTTTCACTCTGTTTATTAGGTTAAATTTCTAAAACTTAGTTTTGACATGCATTGGGCTTGAATGCTTAAAAGGAAGATTATTTCCTTTTGCTGGATTCTTTGAAACTCTAAGTATCTATTGTTATAGCCTTTCGGTGTTTTTCTCATTGAGATTGTGTCTTGATTCTTCTTGTTTCATTTTTAAACTTTTACATAAATTAGGGCTTTGTAACTTTACTTTGGAAAATTCCTTGGGTTGTTATTCCTTTATTGTGGTTGTGATCTGTTGGTCTCTATGAAACTTGTTGCGCTGTGTGCTCCAAAAATGACTTGCAGTATAGGGGGACTTAAGGATTCTAAATTTGTATGGTTGTGTGTAGGATTTAAGGATTAAAAATTTGTGAGGCTGTGCATATGGAAGTTTCCTTCTTGTTTTTCTCTTTATGTGCTTTAAGCAAATGGCTTGCAT